GCACTAGGTCTATAGTTTCCACCAGACGCTCGGCTGTCTCCGTAAGCTCCGACGTGTGACGTCACAGCTGGTCAAGATGACTCATGCGGCTTGATGTATGAAGTGGCTGATCAATTTTTTAAGCTTTTTATGGTACAACTGCGCTCGCCCCAACGGTCACACCGTAAAAAATATTACTGTAGATTCCTAAATAAACGCGTAAAAATAATTTCGCGAGAAGCACCACACGCGAAATTAAATTACTCGCCTTTATTTTAATAGTGCTGAAATCTATGAAAAATCTCTTGACCAACCGACTATTCGTGAATTACTATTCTCGTGATTTGACGCCGAAGAGCCCATTTGCGATAGTAAGTACTCGTGAAAAATAAAGGAATTTACACTATTGAACAATATATATAAAAAGGATTCTCATTCTGACTTGAAAACATCTTCGCTAGCCAAGGGTTTCTGAGACGCTGCTCTCCTCATAATTTTTGAGGAGAGTAGCGTATCAGAAACCCTTGACTAGCGAAGATGATTAGAAAAAGGACAAACTATATTTTTCTATTGAAATAAAATAGATATCAGATGAAATGCAAAAAATAAATCACGATATTTTTCACATAATCTTACAATTTCTGCAAACAAACACATCCAGATTACCTCAGAAGAATTTACAACATTGGCGAAAAAGTAATCACTGTGTAAAGTCCCTTCCAAGCTAATTTATGCCGTTTTGGTGCTTATTTCGCATGCAAACTCTTTTTTATTATAATTGATGGGCATGCAGTGTCTTCGTAACTGACATTCTTTATGTAACACAAGAGAAATATTCTTGTATGTAGTTCTTTTATTCTTGATTTGAATGAATATCAATGGTTATGATGACGATTATGATGACAGTGGTCCTAAAATAAACAATACACAATTGAAAATGATAGTCATAAAAAAATAAATGTAAACAAGTACAATATCACCTCTTGACATTTCAATATTAGGAAAAAGTAATGTTCACTTCATTAAGAAATATTTATGACAGTCAGACTTCTTTTACACTTTATCATACAGCATATAATCTAAGCAAGAAATAAATATGCAGTATATATAATAAGTAAAAAAAATGTACACAGCTCACAAACCTAAGTAAGGAATACAGTATGGCCGCTTCCGGTCACTGTGACGTCATCACACAAGGACTGTCCACTATAAATACAATCAGGTCTTACTACTCAATTCATACAAACTATACTTACATGTACTTGACAAGGAACCACTTTTATAATAAAAATGTTTTGTATTGAATAATCTTTTAAAATCATATATCATCAGGGCATCTATTATTTTTAACCTATAAACATACTTATAAACAAATGACTAGATGGTAACATCACGACATAATTTCTGACTAGTAATAAACAACTTTCAATCAGGAAATTACGCAGTTGCATATTTCACAAAATATAGAATAATTATTCACTTGTGACATAAGTACCTAGTCTAATATGAATGCAAGACAAAAATATCATTACTCACATATATCAGACAAAAAGGCGTTTAGTAACACGGCTGACACACGTCTTCACTGGTCAACATCTACTGTGAAAAATACCGCCAAAAGATGGCCTACTGTACATTCGGTAAATTGACCAATCAATGGACAGATTCACAAGCGTAAAAAATGAATTATAAAAATTACTTACAGCCAAATACTATCGTTATTTCAGTTATTCAAAAAGGATTTAAACATAAAAATAATTTTCCTTTTCATAATTTGTAAACTTTATAAAAATTTCAATCTGAATCTTGAACCCGATGCAAAATATACTTCGCCCTCTTACATTTAATACAAGCATGGACACCAATATTTGGTATTTTCTCAGTAGTAAAACCATCCAACCGGTATCCATGAAGAATGTTCTCGGAACAACAATGAACAGAAAACACAAAAAATCCAAACACGAGAAGAACAAGCGTCATCATCATCTCTCCATATTTTTGGTGTATTTTTTGTTTGAGTGCGTTTTAAAGAGATATTACCTCTAATATTTATCCCAAAGATAAACATGTCAGATATTGTCTATATGCTTTAAAGTGATTAGTTAATATATCAGGATATTTTACATCCTGAAGAAATATTTGAGTTTTGTCAAATAATCACTTAGAGTACAAAGGAATTGAAGATAGGCACCGGGGTACGAATTGATTTTGTTTTTAATCGTGAGTAAGGCTTTTACTCAAAATTTTTAATATCTAAAATGACACTAAACATTCGATTTCCTAACTTTCTCAGAAAAGATACTATTGTTAAACGAATAAATGAGAACATTTTTAGAGGCGATTTTTTTTATTGATACACGTATGCATGTATACAAAAAGGGGTAAATATGACGGGGAGAGATCGATCTCCTAAAAACATCAGACAATAAAAATCTGCAATGAAATGGAATAAACACAGTCCATTAATAATTTCAGAGAGGAAAATCATTTACCTCGGAAGAGTACATCGCAATTGTTAACATACCATGGTGACAAGTTACACCCGCTAAGAGCTCTATGTATTTAATACTCCGTAGTCAATTTTAGTACAAAAACAAATCGGTACCAAACACGTTTATTAAATTGACTGGTATACAATTCTTAATCTACTTCTTAAAGTAACCAAACAAATCCCCTCAAAGAGCCCTGTAGACTAGATCCTTAGCTGATCCCTAACGTAGATTTTCCGCAACTTCCATAGAATTCCAAAGCATATTCCGTGGAATTCCATGAAATTTTTGTTCCGCAGAATTCTTAGGAATTCTCCGGAGTATTGGGACGGAACTTTTTTCGGAATGATTTGGAATTTTTAATCTAGCCTGGAAAAGAGCGGAACAATGCCAGAATGGAAATTTGCGGAGGAAATCCATGGAATTCCAGGATATTTGTAAATTGTAAGGAATTCCATGGAAATCCATTGAATTCTAGGATTCCAAATACATGTACAATGAAAACTGAAATAATTAGTGCCAAATAATTACAAAAAAACTTGATAAAATCACAATTTTTCATAGATCAAATCTATATTTTCAAAATAAAAATTCATTGTTTCTATTACAATGTTTTTTGAGACAAATATTGCATATATACTCTCAGATGTACAATATAAGCACACTTTTTAAATGTATTCCCACTGAAAGTATTTTACATCAAAGGTTATTTACAAAATTATCCAGAGAACAATATGATTACTGGAGAATCACCTTAGTTAAATTAATGATAATCATGTTAAGATATACATGTATTTAGTAAACTCCAGTTTTATTAAATGACATTGGACATGGAATTGGAGAGGTCATTGAAACCTCAACAGAGTATACATTTACAATGAAGTGCCAGTGGCTTATGTACTGGTACAAAGTTAATGACTAGAGTGACAAATACGTGTATTACACAACTATATTGATACAAAGATCCCATAAAATCAACAGATGCTAAAGTATTTTCCCCCAACGTACGTGCCAAAGATCCCAATTAATGAAAATCCAAAACTTCTGACGTGTTTGCTAGAGAATCACTTTCTCGCCAATATCCCATGAAATTAGTAAATGGTTATGTTATACGGTTGACAGATAATTGGTGTCACGAATGCATTCACTTTCAGTACGAAGGCTCAGAAAGTTGGATGATGATCATTCCCAGTCCCATGCACAGGCACCTGTAGTATGGATAATACCCCCCCCCCCCTTTTTAATGACAAAAAAATGTAAGAGTGTATAATACCTCGAAAATATAAAATTTCCCCGTCAAACACATCTATATGTCGTTATATGCAAGCAGATTGTACTTTTTCTCACGTTTAAAGAATGGCCCTATTCGGTATAATAAAAATACACAAGGTAAGAAACAAAAGTTGTAAACAAACAGGGGGTTCCCCAATTCGAGACAGATTTCCAAGTTAATAATTATTGTTACCTATCACAATTTTGCAAGCACTCTGTCTGGGAGATGTTCTTTTACTAGTCTCTTAAACCTAAACCCCGCTGTTAGCGTTTGATATGGCGTAATCGGACGATTTATTAATCGGATACATAAAATTTTCTCCACTGGCAGCGTTGGAGGAGGTTTTGAAGCTGCTTTTATGTTTCGCCTTATCTGATTGGTTACATATTTAAACTGTATTACAATTAACCAATCAGATAAGGCGAAACAGATAAGCAACTCCAAAACCTCCTCCAAAGCTGTCAATGGAGAAAATCTATGTATCCGATTACGATTACGGCATATTAACCATCAATGGCGGGGTTTAGGTTTAAGAGACTAGTAAAAGAACATCTCCCAGACATAGTGCTGGCAAAATTATGATAGGTAACACTAATTATTATCTTGGAAATCTGTCTCGAAGTGGGGAACCCCTGTTTGTTTACAACTTTTGTTTCTTACCTTGTGTATTTTTATTATACCGAATAGGGTCATTCTTTAAACGTGAGAAAAAGTACAATCTGTTTGCATATAACGACATATAGATGTGTTTGACGGGGAAATTTTAAATTTTTGAGGTATTTTACACTCTTACATTTTTTGTCATTAAAAAAGGAGGGGGGGGGATATTATCCATACTACAGGTGCCTGTGGTCCCATGCACAGACACTTCAAACTTTTCTTGCACAATTTCTGAAAGAAAAGATAATCATTAAGATGCATCATTATTGATATCCATATAAATATATGACAAATAATAAACTAAATAAAGCTATACAAAACAACTGGTTCTTTCGACCTGGCAAATCAGTCTACTGTAGAATATGAATTCACTATCTTGCAATTTTTTGTTCAAATTAGGATTAATTCTGATAAATGTAAAAATGTGAAAAGTTTATAGACGACAGACAACATCAGCCACTGATCAAAAAACTCACTTAGGCCTTAAAATGGTTCAGGTGAGCTGATACTGAAAAAGATAATTTCAATGCATGTGATTTTATTGATTTAGAAAATAATTAAGAAATCTGACCTTTTTTTTTTTTTTTTTTCATACACCTCTTGTCCTTGTAAGCATTTGGATTCCTGTAAAATGCATGTATATTTCAAAGTAGATGATTGCTGTTTGATCTAAAATAATTATGCATGCCTGTGCAGTTAGCATGTTTAGATTACCTGTCAGAATTGTTTTAAATTATTAAAATAAGGAATTTAAGCATGTTAAGAATATAAACCTTTAAATTTTGTTTACATGGCAAATAATTTCTTTTTAATCTTATGCTAATAGACATGGATTATTAAAATCAAAGTTATTTTACTTGGTTTGAATGATAATTTGAGCTAGTTCTCACCATATTCACAAGCCTAGTGACTAATTGGCTAAGCATCTACATCCACCAACTTGTCCAAGTTATCAAACGCCATCGCTGTGGGGATCATCTCAGACACAATGCAGCAACTATAAAATAATAAAAATAAGAGCTGAAAATGATCATGATCATGATCAAAATATATAATTAATTACATTGTACGTCATACTCTGATCTGAAAATGTTATCTTGAACAAAGGAACGTATAGGTAAAATTCTTTCTATCAGTTCGATCACAAACGAGGAAATTCGAGTTAAAATCCATGATCTTAAATTATTAGAAAATTGAAATAGTGCACTAACGATTTCACCGTCGGGCAGTTTATGTGTGGTGTCCAAACTAATGAACAGTAGCAGAAGCGTTCTTCATTCAAGGACACATAAAATACTGTACAATATTGTACCTACCGGGACTTAAAATGTCTTCATCTTCTTCCATCCAAAGCTAATCATGATTCCCCTGTTCTAGACACCCTCTTCCCAACTTTCCATCTGTTCAACATCAACATGGCATTCGATATTTTTGAATTTCGGCATGTTGTTTTAATTTATAGTTCATCGAGCCCGACCTCGATCCCGATGTTATTGTACTATTATTTGACACTTAAAAAATTCTAAGTAATTTTCCACAGTTTTCCAGCGCAGAAAATGGCTAAGTTTCTCATTTTATCATTTTTTCCAAAGAACTCCACTACTTTCCAAACCAAAAAATGTCTAAGTCCAATTTTTTTTTCAGATTCCAAAATATTCCAAAAACTTCCAGACACACTTTTCGAGTTTGGTATAGAAATGATTGGAATTCCATGGAATTCCAAAACTTTTCCAAACCCTTTGGAAAATCTACATTAGGGATGGTTTGCAACCTAGCGTATGTGGTAAACTGGTATCTACTGAACTCCAAGGGTTCTTTTGGTTTACCTGTACGTTATTCGTTTTAAGTCCTTGCTGATTATATTCTTTGTATTTGCCTATGCAAATTAAAGGTGTAGAGTGTCACCATTGGATAGTCAACAGCTTTATAACATGCTGTATGGATAGCTCTGCGTTTATTGAAAATCAAAGTTCATTTGCCTAAAACTCTTGCAACATTTAAAAAAGTTATTGGGTCTTATTTTAGTTGTTATGGCATAATTATTTAAGCCTGTTGAGTAGGAATGCACCTGCTGAGGTCCGATGTTACATGTGGTACAGTTACGCATGTTACCGGTATTTTACTAGGAACTAGTGCTAATTGTAACGGGGACCGTTACAGATGTTCCCCAAACGCTCCCCAACTTCCTTTTGGTGCCACATTCCCTGTAAGCTTCATTAAATAAGACAAACTCTATGCATTTGAGGCTTTAACAACATTTACCCAGAAAGTACCACGTTCATTCAAATTTTAGAATTCCACGCGTGCGCATGTGAATGCATGTGCGTAAAGACCATATCATCTTGTCTATACAATCTATATATTTCAATATACTAAATATTAAAGTATTTAATCCATAAGTATAAAAAAAATACGCTCATTAAATTGTATTTTTGATTTTACTCATTTCACGTAGAAGCACGTGCATACATGAGCATGATGGCATACCTTCTTGTAGAGGTCCACTACATCTATCTATGTTCTAATTCCCACCCCGTTTGATTGAAAACCAAGGGAGTTATAGCTGTTTAAAGTTTCAGCCAATCAGATTGCAGTGCACGTACACGCACGTGTATGCATGTGCATGATGACTATACCATCTTGTAGAAGTCCATTATGTCTATCTATGTTCCAAATCCCATCCTGTTTGGTTGAAAACCAAGGGAGTTATAGCTATTTAAAGCATAAGCCAATCAGATTGCAGCGCATGTGCATGCACGCGTTTTCATGATAATTGCTATACATCTTATTGTAGGATATCCTAATACATGCCTATGTTTAAAATTTCATAGGATTTCGTCAAAAAACAAGTTAGATTTTGAGACTTTAGTTTCAGCCAATCAGAGCGACGCGCACGTGCATGCGCGTGAGATCTTACTTTTTTGACCATGTCATTTTGTTTATGCTTCTAATATATACTTATAATATGAGTTTCAAAGCATTTCATCAATAATTTAAATAGTTACGTCTGTATCAATTATATTGGACATTTCTCGTGTTGCACGTGCGAGCTCTTGCAAGCACATGTGCATGCACATGCTTTCATGATAAATCTTATAATACAGGCTGTAGATCTCCCTAATATATGACTATGTTCAAAATTTCAAATGATTTTATCAAAAAACAAAAAAAGATATTGAGACTTTAGTTTCAGCCAATCAGAGCGAAGCGCACGTGCATGCGCGTGCGATCTTGCTATTTTGACCATGTCATCTTGTGCTTACTACTAATTTATCCTTACATTATAAGTTTCTAAACATTTCGTCACACAATAGAAAAGTTACGGTTATATCCATTTTATATTGGTCATTTTAAGTTTTGCACGTGCGCGCTCTTGCAAGCACGTGCGCGCAAAATGACCTTGATTCCGCAATCTACATAACATGCCTACTTACCCTAAAAAGGTTTCACCTAAGTCGGATGTGTAGTTTACAAGATCACTCGCGGACAAAATTTTCCCAGGAAGAAAAATAAGAATAAGAACTAGAACTGCGATCTCGTTGCGAGCAACGAGTAGGTCTTCCGTCCGATTCCGAAAAATAACCCATGAAATCGAGCTGAAAATGGATTAAACATATTTTGGACACATTGGGAATTGAAACGGGTCACGAGCGTGAAAATCCAATACGCTTATCGATTACGCTATTGAACAACTACTCTTACTTCACTTGTATGTACATATAATTCTGCAACAGTTAATCTGTCTTGGAATTATGAAAGAAGGGTCACTATTCATAATTTCGCGCCAAACGCAACGAGTAAATCTTAGCGAATTTCTCTTGGAATGTTCATTTAAATAGGTGAGATAGCTTCAATCAAATAACAAAAGAGCGTTCTTATCGCCTAGCCTAAATTTTGAGGTGTGGAAAGTATAACACACACATGAAACATATCGTATATAGGCAAATAACACTAAAGCAGCGAAACAGCTATTAATTGGTAATTTTTCAATTTTCAATCACGAAAGTTGACTATGCCGATTACTTACACTTTCATGAAAAAGGTGGTATGTTTCACCGAAAAAAATGCTTCGATCGCCCTACGAGGGTCAAGAAATAAGATTCTATTATCTTCAATAACTTGCATTGAGAAAATAAAATGTTTATATAGGTCAATTAAACGGTCTTTGAAAAATTGTTATCTTTAAAAATAAAATATTTTCTTATTGTAACAGTTGTCCTTTCTATTGATTTAATATTACACAAGTGTGCATGGGAAAACAGTGGTCACGTTTTTTACCTACTACATTCTTGAAAAACTATTAATTTTAACTATGATTTAAGCTATGTGTTACCGTTATGCAAAGCAAAAGATATAGATATTGTACTTCGTTTGCACATCAATTCTTTTCTATTTCTACTTTGAGAAACAACCAAAACCAATTAAAGAAGACTTGTATGTAGACCTTGGATAATAAATGTAGTTTGACACCGAATTGCAACGAACCTACGACGTGACAATCCAAGTATCCCTTCACATTTCATTGTTCCTTATGTTACTTTCGTTCAAGCAAACGCTCAGCTGCCTCTGTAAACCCCTATTGCGAAATGTCGGAATTGACAGAGACCGCCGCCATTAAGATCACGCTTCAGACTTTTGAATGTTAATATCTCGAGTTCGAATTCATCAATTTACAAACAAATTATATATTCAGCCTAATGAGAAATGTTTCTATCAACCATACTAATATGATTTGAAAATATTGAAAAACAAAAAAGTTTAAAAATTTGACTTTTTTTCTTTGCATGCCGTTACGACAGGAAGTAGAGACGACGTACAAAAGATCGCGTCTTCGATAGTTCTTATCACGATCTATAATCCCTGAAAGTTCCACAGTGATATCTTTAACCGTTCTTTAGATTATCCACGAACAAAATGTCAATTTAAAATCAGATAATTGTCCGTAACTTGGCACCAGAAAGGAATTTCCAAAAAATCTCCAGGATATAGTAAATGCATAAAGCAACACATTGTTCCTGCAAATTTCATAAAAATCCATGCAGTAGTCTTCGAGAAATCACGTGCACAAAATTTGATGGTCAGAAATATTATAATTATAATGAGCTCAGGTGAGCTTCAACGCCTTTTGCGCTGGAAAGATATAGACTCAAAAAAGCAATTAAGCAATCCTTCCTCTACCTTCACTGAAAATCTCAAGTCAATATCTTCATTCGTTTTTTAGTGATTGCCCGGACAAGCTGACCCTTTTAAAATCAGTAAATCGTCCATATCTCACGACCGGAAGTGACGACGTACTTATAAAAAATTTCCAATAAGGTTCAGACCAATATCTATCAGATCTGAAAGTTTTGTGAAAATCGACCAAGCCGTTTCCGAGAACTCGCTTGCACAAAAATCGGTAAGAAAAAAAAAAATAATAATAATAATAATAGGGAAAAAGAAACCGAACGAAAACAATAAGGTCTTCCGTTGGAAACGGAAGACCTTAATAATAAGAAACAGAGTAAAAACAATATGTTCCCCAACTTCGTTTGGGGAACATAATAACGGTTGAGCGATAATGATTCATGATGCTACTGTGGAAGATCTGCTTTTGGGAGTTTGCAGTAGGTTTAGTTTTAGTTCGGAAAGAGATCTTTAATTTTTATGCATTGTTTATTTCTTTTCTTGAGGATTGAAATTGTATTGAACATTGTTGATAGAACATTGAAAAAAAATTTATTGGGCATATAGCAGAGTTCCATCTCTAATATAGCCCTTCAGATCCCAGGTAGGTATTCTGTAAGATCCAGGCGCTTTGAATGGTTAGAGTCCTTACGTCTTCCGTGACTTCTTATGTTTATGTCCATCATAAATGGATGTGGCGACGGACCCTTATCTGGCAAATAAAAGAAGTCCTATACTGACTGGAACTGGTCGCTTAATTGGCCAGTTTGGTCTGCTTAAGGTCATTTTGGAGAAACTCGAAAGCATCCTTAAATGGTGCCGCCCCCTCCCTTGATGCGTTTTTCTAAAACTATTATTTGGGTCTCTTCAAGTAGGTTTATAGACCCTTGTCATGTGTTTCATGTGTTCTTGTTTAAGAGCACGCTAGGTTTTTTCCGCAATTCTCACTATGATAATTCTGCTGGGTGTTTACATTTGATGATTTCCTTTGTTTTTTATATTAATGCTTTTTAATCCTTTCTCCTTCTTTGTAATTTTCCTAATATTGCCATTGTAACATGTGTCATGGATACATAGTTTTGAATGGAACATTCTTGCTTTTTCACAAACTAAAATTAACCTTGAATTAAAAAATCAGCTTTGTATATCGATTACCTGTTTCATGTTTGCAATTTTTTGAGCAGTGTTAGCAAATGGAATGCGCTAGACTTAACCAAAAACAATTCTCGTAACATTCATACATATAAAGATTTAGGTGTTCGATATCA